CCCCACAAAAGGTAATTAGCATCGTTTGATGTATTGTCTTTTTGCGTTATAAACAAACAAAGGGCATGAATAGACTTTGTACATTTGTTGAAAACAGGTAAGAAATATTTCTTTGGAAACATTGTTGGTGTGTATTTTTGGACAATAACAATAATTCATTTTAATAACGCTGATTTATAAACATATGGGCATGCCATATGAACAGACTTTGATCATGTGTATAACGCACCAAAGAAAACGCATGGACACCATTAAGCCAACGGGTATCTTTTTGAACAATGTAAACTAGAAATTAAAGGGTATAAAGAAAATCAAATCACAATTGTTATAAGAATCATGAGAAATAACCAGTAATCATTTTACTTAAGCCTATTATTGTACTACAATAAAATAAAATAAATTCCAAAGCCTTGAACACCTGTTTAACACGTTCTGCGAATTTGATGTCGTTTTTAACAATATGTAATAGCATATAATATATTTGTAGCGCGAATCTTTTAACCTTTAGTGGAATAAAAACACGAAATCAATTTCAAAACATCAAACCATATAATTATATTTACAGAACATTACAGATGGAGGGGGGGGGGGCAACGTCCACTCGACACAAACTAGGTCATTTCGGGACTAACATAAGGTTATTTGGCACAGGGGTGAAACCGGAGGACCCGGAGAATCCCCACGAGGCTGGAGAAGCGATCCTACTCCGTTTGAGGTACCAGTTTGGAATCAAAACCACGTCACTGGACTGTAATAGCATATGTAATAGAATATATTTGTACTGCGAATCTTTTAACCATTAGTGGAATAAAAACACGAAATCAATTTCAAAACATCCAACCATATAATTATATTTACAGAACATTACAGATGGAAGGGGGGGGGGCAACGTCCACTCGACACAAATTAGATCATTTCGGGACTAACATATGGGTATTTAGCACAGGGGGAAACCGGAGGACCCGGAGAAAACCCACGAGGCTGGAGAAGCAACCCTACTCCGTTTGAGGTACCAGTTTGGAATCAAAACCACGTCACTTGACTCAGTGACAGACCTTATGATATAAAGGGCGCACGTTAAGCCATTCGGCCACCGAAACACCCCAACGAATTAACCTTGAATCAGTGTATATTAATTTGTATACTAACAAACAGTAATTGAATCTTGTCTGAAACGCTTGGTAATTATCTTCCCAAGTTAATGAACCAAAGTACGAAGAGTCACTCCGGATTCTTGGACAGAGCAAATGGTATATATATATATACCGTTTTTTAAATAGTGTGTACTATCAGAAACTTCAAATGAAATGACATGGGGTTTAACCTCTTACTATTCTGCTCTGACTAATTCTACTAGATGGCTTGAAAACGTATTGGCCTTTAATATACGACCTTGTCGTACCTGTCAATACGGGACCTCGTCGAATCTTTAATATACGACCATTTAGTTGGATACTCAAGTATCCCTTCCCCCCCCCCCCCCGCCTCCGAAAATTCCAGAAAGGGGGCAAACGTATCAACCTTAAATATACGCCCTTTGGTACCTTTAATATGGAATCTTGTGGAACTTTTAATACACGATCTTTTCGAACGTTTAATATACGATTTTGTCGAACTTTTAATATATGACCTCGTCAAAGCTCTAATATACGCCCTTGTCAAGCCATAAATATACGCCCATTTCGTGGGATATGAGAATCAAATAATATATACATGTAGGTCATGATTATTCGCATTGCTAAATATACATCGGGCCATAATATCTGAGGAAGTTAGAAAGTCAACTATTTTCAAAATCAAAGTTAAGGAACTCTATGTCACATAGAAGTAATTCCCATAATCATGTATAGTATCCTAACAAACATTAGTCAGTACATATATTTAATATATGAACACGAGCTTAGCGGATGTACAAACAAAGATCTCCTTTATGTCCCTTTATCGTCTCAAGTTTTGTTAATTGATGAAACTTCAAGGATAATATTGAAAACCAACACCAATTAATGGTCGAAACACGCCGTTATACAAGGCACTTTAATAAATATTGGTTCTCTTCAGGCATCACTCGGAAATATTGACTAGAGATAAAAAATGATAATAATTGAATAGTGGATAATATCAATAATAATTGTTGGCAGAGATCAATTAGTGAAGTTGTAATGATTAATTTCTATGTGTTGTGTTCTAATGACCCTCAACTTACATAAAAACTTCTAAAAGAGCAACGTAATATTGAATTGCTATTGTTTGCTTTCCTTCTAACAGGATGAAACATACATTGATAAGAGCAATGACAAATATGGCCGCCTGAAGGAACGAATGCTGCCTATTTATTCTCTTGATTGAATCGCTGCCAAAAATTACTTCAAAAAATCAATAAAAACCTTGCTTGTTAATCTCGTCTATCTTCAACATCAATCATTAGTCTTGCAAATAATACACACCTACATGATCGCGGCTATTGATTAGCAAAAGCAGAGAATTCGGTATGGGGTTCGAGTAATTTAACGCTAGAATTTCTGTTTCTATGGTCTAATTAGCACAAAAAACCGGCTTACAAAGACTATAGTAATCAAGTCTACAGCGATTTGAAATATTTCCACACAAAAATATCCAATAAAAGAAATGGAAAATGTACATAAAAGTCACTGGATAATTGGTAAAATTCGCCAAAATCATGTTGGGGGATGTTGGCAAAATAAACGAGGCGCGTGTTTGATCCTTCAGGCGTGTTTCCGAGCTGAAAAATAAAGATTGAAAATTATTGAGTGGCGCTGTAACAAGTTTACGTCATTAACAAGATTCGTTCGATTCGACGGAAAAAGACGTTAAGATTCACAGTTTGATTTCCCGAAGGGCTGGTGGATAATTTCACGCATCCAACAAGCCAAAAACATTGTCCATATAAAAAGCTATAAATCAAGAACTGGTTATAATGTTTCATCTTTTCTGCCAAGTTGCTGAAATCAGGTTTTGGCTAACAAGACAACTCGAGGGATTGGCGCCCGAAACGTGTAGATTTTAATAACTAGTGCCACTTCGGTTCCATTGCTAATTTCATTTTATTAGTCCTTTTCTCAAACGTATTCTTTTTATAACTTTTCTTCAGACCAATTCTTCATGTATCATAGTATTGATGTAGGACGTTTTTATAAAAAGAATATTGTATTCAGTTATGACCGTTTGTTAAGAAGACAAAACATATTTTGATTGGAAAACGGCGATAGATGAGTAACAGAAAAAATCGAAAATCTTTTTTATTTCTATTTTAATATGTATTTAGACCTTCTAAATGTAGAACTGATCACAGTTTAAATGTAAATAATTCAATATTTTCACAAAATTTCCAGTCAATTTATTTTATTTTTAATGCAGACCGATATTGTCATCATTTATTGCCCATTATTATATTTTGTTGCAAATTTGCAGAGAATCATATCATAAGATCGACACCTATATAGAAACTCGGTTTAGTTACAAAGATTTATGAAAACGCTGGAAATGATAGAATGTTTACAATCGCAATGTGATATTTTGTTCTGGGAGTTCGATGTTTGACGGTTGCATGATAAATCTATAAAACTTTCAAACGGAAATTGATCTATCGACCGATTTTAATTATTAGACACTTTTAAAAATAGCGTAAAATAGTATCAAAATTTGAAACCCAGCTATAATTGTTTGGGGTTTTTTTTTAACTTCAAAATCTTGATCTACTTCCCATTTAAAGACTGTTTGACATCAATTATCTGGTATCTCCTTAATAAGTGATAAGTGCTTGCCAAATTCCCAAACTAATTTTGAAGCACCAACCATTTTGAACGTATAATCTTGACAACGATGATTAAATGAAACTATAAATTATTTTCACTGCAATCTTGAAAATAGAATTGAAGACACACAAATAAATTCCCTAGAACTGTCGTTTACTTGCCCTGCTGTGAAATAATGTGATTTAATGATTTTGACGTTGCCGTAATTGTGATCTGTTTTACGACAGCCGAAATTCGACAAATTACACGCGACTTCATTTCCCAATCCTAAATACGAATCAAGCGAACACAAATATGTCATGACGCGTTGGTTTATTCATCGTCTATCCTTTCCCGTGATTAACCAATTCACTTTATCTGGCCACATTCAATTTTCATCCACGCTTTCCGACATTTACGGCAAATTAATGATCGCAAATTGTTTATCAGAAGAATTTAAAACCCTGCGGTCATTGTACCAAATAGTAGAAATTTAGGGAAATGAATAAATCGAAATATTAAGCGCCATTTTGTCAGTGATCCAGTGATGTGGGTTATTTCTTTGGTCAGTGCATCAATATAATGTAATTTAAAATATTGCCTTGTATTTTCGGTTATTGTTGTTTGTATGTTATGGTATGTTATGAATTTAAGTCCGAAATGATTTTAACCTCAGGGACTATAGCTTTGAACCATGTCCGTCCGTGCACCCGCCCCTACGTCGGATTCTGAAGACACGGAAACAATTTAATGGAAACTGACATTTATAGTCGTATTCAAAACGGTCAGAACAATTGTTTACAGGTTAAAAAAACGATGGTACAATTTAACAATTTTTTGTCGGTTTCAAAATGGCCGTCATAATGACGAACACTTTGTGAAGATGCCGAAGGAAATAATTCAATGGAAATTGGTAGAATTTATACTGTATGCATAGCGGGGAAAACGACGCATATCAACAGTTTTCAAATTTAAAATGGATTCACCTCACACAAATTGGAAGAATGTACCATTAACAATTTAGTTTTCGGTAACCCCTAGCATAGTTTTCAGTCTATTATTTATAGATGATTAATGGTCATAGCTTATTAAGTACAACATGATCGTTTATTTAGTGACTATAATTGTGTGAAACTGATTTGAGGCTTGGCATATATATAAATATTGTGGCGTAATTGTCGAGATATTTGGAGATATTTATTTATGGTGGGTCACCCTCCTCATGGTCATAGGCCACTTCATAGCGTATGTTCATCTTCATTCAACCTCATTTCCCTTTTTTTTCAGAAAAATTCCAATTTTAAAGTAAAGAATTCAAAGACGTGTATGACACTCATTACCTTATACATGTGTAGGTAATATTTAAATTGATTTTTAAGAAAACTTTCTTCACAGGTCAAATTTAGCCTAGAAGACTGGAAATGATTAGGCTTAGTAAGACGCAGGCACCCTAACCAAGTGGTCTTTGGTTTGCCAAGAAAGTTCTCGAGCGGTTTTCCCTTGTCAGCGTGGTGGGACTGGGAGGGCCTGACAAGGACAGTATCCAGTTGTTCAGAATCAGATGGTACAAAAAACACAAGGTCCGGTGTAAACATTGGTGTAAAAGAACCCTTGACATAATTCAATATAGTAGGCTTGGTTCTGGGCAAAATTTCCCTTATTGGTCACTGTATGGCATATATCTGTATTCATTAGTCCGGTGGGTGCATAAAAGTAGACATTAAATTATTATGCTTGGGATTGTTGCTGGAAAATAAAACATGACACATTCCTAACTCAACATTAACTTCTTAGGTCAAGTAGTTCAATGATTTCACTTGCCTGAAAATGAAACTGATTGCCCAAATGTACAAATTGCATCAATTTTGCTTTGTGGGATAATTAAGTCATATAGGTGGGATTGTTTATGTAGTCTGATAAAAAAAATCTCCAGTTAACTTTTAATGTCGCTCCCCGATCCTTTTTATACGCCCACATTTTCATGTGGACGTATATTGTCGTCGCCCCTGTCCGTCCGTCCACAATTGCTTGTGAACACTTTACAGGTCACAATTCTTATCCGATTTCAACGAAACTTGAAATATAGGTTTATCTCCCCAAGATCTCGGTTCCTTTCGATATTAATATTAGCATGTATCGGACGGTAACTTCGTGGATTATGGCCCATGATTGTACGAAAAATCGCGTTTTTAGGTTGTGAACACTGTTGAGGTCACAATTTTTATCTGATTTGGTTTAAACTTTAAATGTATGTTTATAACCCACAGATCTCAGTTCCTTTCGATATTCGCGCATATCGGACCATAACTTCCTGAATTATGGCCCCTGATTGTACGAAAAATCAAGTTTTTAGCTTGTGGACCCCATAGAAGTCACAATTTTTATCCGATTTAAAAACACGTGTGAATATATCACTTTTAAACCCTAAGGATGGTTGAGTTCGAATTTCGTAAAAATCGGACCGAAACTGACAGACAAAATGGTCGCCCCTCGTTCGCAAATTCTGATTTTGATGAAACTTGAAATGCATGTTTATAACCCACAGATCTCGGTTCCTTTCGATATTTGCGCATATCGAACCATAACTTCCCGAATTATGGTCCCTGATTGTACGAAAAATCACGTTTTTAGCTTGTGAACCCCATAGAGGTCACAATTTTTATCCGATTTAAAAAAACGTGTGAATATATCACTGTCACACCCTAAGGATGGTTGAGTTCGAATTTCGTAAAAATTGGACTGAAACCGACAGACAAAATGGCCAGCCCTCATTCTAAAATAGTGTCAAAATATTGCGTATCAGGGTTGTGGACTCTTTGGAGGTCACAATTTTCATCTGATTTTGATAAAATTTGAAATGCATGTTTATAACCCACAGATCTCGGTTCCTTTCGATATTCGTGCATATCGAACCATAACGTCCTGACTTATAGCCCTTGATTGTACGAAAAATCACGTTGATAGCTTGTCGTCCCTCTAGAGGTCACAATTATTATCCGATTTAAAAAAATGTTTGAATATATCACCGTTATACTCTAAGGATGGTTGAGTTTGAATTTCGTAAAAATCGAACCAAAACTGACAGACAAAATGGCCACACCTCGTCAAATAGCGTAAAAATATGGTATATCAATGTTGTGGACCCATATTTAGAACGCAAAGATCTTGGTTCCTTTCGATATTCGTGCATATTGGATCGTAACTTCCTGAATTATGGCCCTTGATTATATAAAAAGTCGCGTTTTTAGGATATGATCCCTCAAGATGTCACAATTTTTATCCGATTTAAAAAAAAAAACGTTTGAATATATCACTGTTACACCCTTATGATGGTTGAGTCCGAAGTTTCGTACAAATTGGACCAAAACTGCCAGACAAAATGGCTGCTCCTCGTACGCAAATATTGTAAATATATGGTATATCAAGGTTTTGGACCCTCTGGAGAGAGGACACAAATTTGAGCCGATTTTGATGAAACTTGAAATACATGTTTATAACCCAAAGATCTTTGTTCCTTTCAATATTCATGCATATCGGATCGTAACTTCCTGAATTATGGCCCTTGATTGTATGAAAAATCACTTCTTTCTTTGAGCTTGTTCTCTGTCCATCTCTTGCAAAATGTGGGCGTATCATGCATGGCAACCGCTTGTTAAAGTAAGTATGGGGATTGTTCGTAAATTGCTGCAATTAAATTGTATCTTTTTTTCACTATACATGTAACTCATACCCGCATCTTTGAGAAGAATCATCCCATCTGATCTAAAAAGATAATTTTATGTTTTCAGATGGCGAGCTTGTGACCCGGATGGATGAATGATGGAAAGACAAATAATAAGTGTTGTTGTATACAGTATTTGGTATAAATCAGTCATTGACAGTCATTACAGCTGAAGATTTTAATGCCGCCCTGTACCAGCACTAACAATGTTGATTACAGTCAATGGAAGGTAATCCTTTGTATGCATCCACATTTTAATACAGTCATATATTTCCGTCATCCACTCCTGTGGTCTGTTATCCATATTTGTCTTAGCACAATACAGGCCTTAGTTAATCCCCTTTCCTTCATGGATTATAGCACCTGATTGTATTGAAAAAATCACATTTTGAGCTTGTGAAACCTTCAGGAATCACAATTATTATCTGATTTTAAAAAAACATTCAACTATATCACTGTTACATCTTAATAACAGTTGAGCTCAAATTTCGTGAAAATCAGACTGAAATTGCCCAACAAAATAGCCAAGGTTTTGGACCCATCAAGAGGTCGCAATTTTGAACTTAAAATGTATGTATATAACCCAAAGATCCCAGATCCTTTCAATATTCGCGCATATTGGGTCGTAACTCCCTGGATCTCATTTCCTTTCAATATTCATGCATACCAGACCATAACTTATAGATTATGGCCCCTGATCGTATTAAAAATTGCATTTTTGGCTTGTGGACCCTTTAGAGTGACGATTTTTATGATAAAACTTGAAATGTATGTTTATATCCCAAAGATCTCGGTTCATTAGAATATTCGGGCATATCGGACCAAAACTTATGGATTATGGCGACTGATTGTACAAATCACATTTAGAGATCACAATTGTTATCCAATTTTGATGAAACTTAAATCGCTTTTTTGGCTTGTTCTCTGTCCACCGCTTACAAAATGTGGGTGTATCTTGCATGGCATCTGCTTGTTTTCACTGTGTCTCTTAGTGTTTCCATGGGAATCTGGGGGGTTGGTTAGCTCATGTCTGTCATTGAGTTAACTGGCATGGTTTCGATTCCTTAGTTGTATGTGATGAGGAGTAGGGTCAACTGTCCAATCTCATGGGTTTTCTCCAGTTTCCTCCCACTGCTAAAGACTGCTACGCGCTATCGAATAATTGAAATAAAATGGAACCATATATTATACCCGAAATGACCTAGTTTGTATCGAGTGGACGTTAAACCCCATTTCTCTCTCTCTCTCCGCAGGAATTTAGTATTTTCTAGTAAGATTGGGTGTCTCTACTTTCCATATCCAAACTTACCATATCTTATTCGAAATAATCTCCCTATAATTACTTTTTTCGGAATGCATCTTTAACTGAACATTTTTTTTGTTTTAATTTCAGGTTAATTAAACCAGAATAACAGCACCTATGAATGTGGTCGAATAAGGTGTAGAGGTGATTAATAGCAACATTGAATGTGGGTTGAATATGGTGTGTTAAAGATGCAAGAAAACACCTGAAATGTGTAAACTGTAATGGATTATAGCCTGGCGCTATCCAAATTACAAAACACCTGCCCCTGTCCGTCCAGATGTACCTCCGGTGAAATTTGTTTGTGGACAACTCTACTCGTCACAGTTATCCGATTTTAATGAAATTTAAATGTATATTTATATTCAAATCATCTGGTATCGGATTCATTTTGAACTCTAACCTCATGAATTATGGACCCTTATATTGTGCAAAAATTGGGTTTTTAGCATGTGGGCCATCCAGAGGATTTTGGCATATATTGGACCGTATCTTCCTAGAATATTACACCTGATTGTACGATCCATTGTTTTTAACTTCTGGATCCTCTAGAATTCTCAGTTTTTTTACGCCAACATTTCCCATGCCCGAATTAACCCCTCTTTGCTGAAGATTTGGCTTCCGAGTTCAGAGTTATGCCCCATAGCCAAAAACATTGAATTTGATAGGAGTTACAGTTTTTAACCGATCCTTTTCAGATTTGGTGTGAAGCATTGGATTCATGAGATCACAAACCCCAACGATATGCAGCGATTCGAAGATAACCTTTTCAAAAAAGCTTGTGGATGTGATGAGGCTACAATTTTTTAATTTGCCGTGTAGCATTGGGACCATGAGTGGACAAATCCTATAAATTCAGCAATCCACACTTAACCCACTTTTTTTGGAAACCATGTGAACGTGATAAGGCTGCAATTTTTTTTAACAGATTTTTTTCTAATTCTTTATGAAACATTGGGACAATGAGTGGATTAGCCTTATTTATATTCCTTATTCTCTTTTGCAATATGTGGGTGTATCTTTGATGGCAACCACTTGTTAATTGTATCAATTGTGTTGTAATATTTTGAAAACAATAATAAATAATAAATATCAAAGTGTTATTTTGTTTCATGTTTGCGGTTTTGCAGCATAACTAGGATTATTCAGTGTGCTATGAGGGAAATTTAGCCCAGATGTGGCTTTTCTGAATTGTCCTCTTTTAATTAAACAGGTTTCTTTTTTTTACATGGACGACATTTTCTACATGGAACTTTGGCTTTTCAGCCCCATCACTATCACAACAAACACCATCCTTTGCCAGGGCCTAGATCCACTGATCAGACGAACGGTGCAGAATATCCTGAGAGGGTGGAGTAACTTTCATGACCGACACTGGGATCAAATACAGCCCCCCCCCACCTGGTTTGTGAGCTAGGCCTCACACTGTTTAAGTCTGCAGCCTTACTGGGTAGAAGTGATAATAACAACCAATAAGCACTGGGTTAAAGTGAGAAAAACACCCGATAAGCACTGGGTTGAAGTGAGAAATACACCCGATAAGCACTGGGTTGAAGTGAGAAAAACACTCGATAAACACTGGGTTGAAGTGAGCAAAACACTACATAAAAACTGGAATGAAGTGAGCAAAACACTACATAAAAACTGGATTGAAGTGAGCAAAACACTCCATAAGCACCGAGTTGAAGTGAGAAAAACACTCCATAAGCACTGGGTTGAAGTGAGATAAGCACTGGGTTGAAGTGAGAAAAACACCCGATAAGCACCTGTTTGAAGTGAGAAAAACACTCCATTAGCACTGGGTTGAAGTGAGAAAAACACCTGATAAGAACTGGGTTAAAGTGAGAAAAGCACCGGTTTGAAGTGAGCAAAACACTCAATAAGCACTGAGTTGAAGTGAACAAAACACTCAATAAGCGCTGTGTTGAAGTGAGCAATACACTCGATAAGCACAGAGTTGAAGTGACAAAAAACCCCGATAAGCACTGAGTTGAAGTGAGAATAACACCCGATAAGCACGTGGTTGAAGTGAACACTTCGTTGAAGTCTAATTTGCATATTTGGCATGGCTTCTTCCTCACTTCAACATCGATTCTGCCTTCTTTATTTCAGATATCAAATTTTTCACTTCGAGCACGTCTCGGTTTAGTGTCACCTGCACTTCATATGGGTGGCGTCATCACATTATTTGCGTGAGGGGATCGGCTCAGTCTCACACAACAACTTTTGGTCTTAGAAGGAATTATTAGTGAGCAGAAATTCGCCCATGTATCTGTTATCACTCGTCACTTCAGTCAGTTACATAGAGGGATGGCTCGTGTTTTCCTTTGGCGTTCGTCACTTCCGATTCAGGAAACCTGTATTACTCAGCTATCGTAGCAATGATCTCTGTGATAAAATTATATTTGGAACGTGTTTAATTAGTTCTATCACATATGTGATAATGACTGACACCAATATTGTCCTTTAAATACAGATCAAAATTTCAACATTCATCACTTCGGAAAAATGCCACTCCTTACACAAGAAAACAGGAACAGAGCTATGGCATGCTGGGTCAGGGGGTTTCACAGGTAGCCGTCGCCAGACACTTTAATGTCCATCCATCTACCATTGCTCGCCTTAGACAATGCTTTCACGCCACTGGAAGAGTTGCGATTCGACCCCGACCTGGAGCGCCACCTGAACAACCGCTGCTCAAGATCGCCACACCCGACTACAGCATCTGCGCAACAGGTTCCTCCGCTACTGCTACTGCCAGGGGAACTGTTGGGACACGGCAACGTCAGATCAGCCCTCAAACAGCCCGAAGGCGCCTGACTGCTCTTGGTTTACGCTGCCGTCGACCTTACCAAAGTCAAATCCTTTTGCATCGTCATCGACTTGCCACACAGCAATGACCCGCAAAAAAGGGGTATCTGCACAACACACCATGGCGTGATGTCATCTTCTCGGATGAATCCCGATTCAACCTCAGTTTTCCTGATGGACGTCACCGTATCTACCGACGTTGACATGAACCCGATCGAACACCTTTGGGGTGAAATTGGACGTCGGGTTCGAACTTAAGCCGTGCCACCACGAACTGTTGCAGAGTTGGCACAGGCACTCCAAAATCATTGCCAAACAATCCTACAGCGTGTAGTGAGACATATGTGCCAGTCCATGCCAAGGCGACTTCAGGCATGTGTAAGAGCTCAGGGTGGACATACCCGATATTGACTTCAGCTGACCACTGCTTTGTTTCATGGTTCTCTGACGTTTCGGTTTTGTGCATTTGTAGTGAATTCTTTCAGGAAATTATCCACAGATGCTTGTTTTCTCGATTATGTCAATTGTTATGTACATTTGTTAAAAGTTGTTGCAGTAATTAAACTTTGAATTTGACATTGCGTTTTTAAATTACAAAAAAACATAGATTATTTCGTTACAATTAGAGTAATGGCCGAATTCATTTCCTTGAAATATAGCCTTATACGCGTTTCATTCAATCGAGAAAACCTTTTGTTGTAATTTAAATTGCACGGTGTACTTATAAAGCTATTTAGCGTAAAAAAATGATCTCTTTTATAGAATTTTATTGTCCGGTTGTTTGTGTCATGTAACACCTTTACAGACGACTTACATCGTGTAGAAAGTCGTTAACGGTCGTAAAACACTCGATATAAGCCATTGGACATAACTATATAATACTCAATAAATACCCAGGGGTGTCATTTCAGTAATGCAATAATACTGGTGTCAAGAGACTGGTTGTCAACACCTATCCATTGTCGACAGATTAATTAGTCGTATTATTACGTGCTGTAAACTTGTGATTACGTGTTTAACTGACTTTTTACATAATAATGAGGTTGTCTCAGAGGATATTATAAAAAGTAAACGTATGGCGTGCTTAAAAGTATGTGAAATATAAGAGTAGCATTACATTGAACAAATTCCGTTTATAAACTATATTTATTATGAAATATATGAGTTAAAACTTGAAGTAGAGAATATTCAGCCCCAGTAGTTTATATTGTGTAAACTAAATTTATTTATGCCGGAATTAATAAATTAATAAGTGGTAGATTATTATGCACCCTCACATAATTTTGTTCCAATGTATGGACATCGGTGGATTGAGTCCGACGTTTTCATTCTATGATAACACACCAAGCCATCCGAGAGGGAGAGAGAGGGGCAAGTAATGTTCACTACAAAAGAAAACTAAGTCATTTTGGGACTAATACATGGTTGGGCAGGCAACATTTACTGGGTTCATTCTACCTCTTCACATGTGCAGACTTCCATTTATATAGAGGACCAGAAGTAGCGATCATAGAGATTGAGTGTCGAGCGTCAGCCGAGTTTCGGTCGTACCGAGGCCAAACATTGAATTCCTTTTGTCCAGGTTTGTTTTAGTTAGGTAACTATAATAGTGTAAATATAATTCGTAATTTCAACTCCATCATTTAGTGGCTGGCGGCATTCACTATTAGAGCATAATCTGATTGACTGGAATAAGCCAAGGTTAAGAAGAATGACCTGTCGTTATGAATCAGCGTAAAGATTAATCAACTATTATCAATTATTACTATGCGATATGAAGTTGTTGGATCTGATTTGACTAGTGAATAAATAATATCAGATAATGATGATAAATAACCAGTTATCCTCGTCTCTTCCAATTCATTTATATTATAAATAACAATTATTCCAGTCTAAAATACTCAACATTCCTTAAAGGGAAATAGATAAATCGATGCATGACCGAAATGCCCGGTCACGGCATGGTGTATGTTGTCGGCTCCATAAATATGCCCAGATGGTTCTGGGATAATATAAAGGGTATATCAATGAATGGCTGAAATAAAATAAAATGATGTTACTTGCCCCCCCCCCTTCCCTTCTTATGATTTTATAGAACTCTGATATCTCTTATTGCTCCACAGAACAAGGTAGCTTAGTACATTTTCATTTTACAATGAACTATATATGCATATAATTGCCGGTCCTACGATTCACCTAAATTTTAATTTAAAAAGCTGACATGAACTTTAGATTGTTTAGAGAATTGCATTTATAGCTACTAATGAATGCAGTTAATTACATTTGTGCATGCATACGTTTAAACAATCGTGTCTTTATATGTTGATTCTCTTGTACTGAACGATAATTAGCACGTTGCCCTTTTAGAACCCTGTGAATTACTATTTTATTACTATACAATCTTTCTACATGCCGTGTATCTGAAAAACCGCTTTCTCTATTTATATCAAAGCTTTTAATTTATTAATTGTTTAATCTATAGCATCTAAGTTTCAAATTTCCGAAACCTCGCTACAATTAAAGGCGTGTGTGTTATTCTAAACGATATCGTGATGTATCGTTGTATAGCTTCATAAAGTATTAACAAGTATTTTGTTGTAGAGGTAATGAAGACGGAATCGAACCATTGATTATAAGAGAACACGCATTGTACTTTGTCACGTACTGTCAACCTAAAACCCTAAATTAAACTCTTGGTTAATAAAGCCCGTTTAATTACATATAAGGCTTACTGCAGTGAGAAACAAAAGACATGCACAGACATGTTGTGGTAGTAATAGTAGTAGTGGGGGTAGTAGTAGTAATGTAGTGGTGGTGGTGGTATAGGCTGGTCAAACTAACATTTGACGTAGAACAAATTGAAACAAAAAGTTTTTTGATTTCTATTGACTCATTATGATATCCTAAGTAAGGAAAAGAAAGTTTACCAAAATCGGAGTCCAAATAAGGACGGGGGGCGTGGCCAAATCCAAGATGGCGGCTGTCGATCAAAAAATTGCATATATCTCTAAAACTATTGGATTTAGACACCATAAATGTATTGCTGACAGATAGGAAGTCGGTATCAGCGAGTTCAAAAATTGCGTCGCTGCGATGTCACAACGGCATATCAGACGTCGCATTTCTTCCAAAATTAGTCCATTTACACATCTTAACAGCAGAAACGAATGCTGATGCAGAACAAGAGAGCATGCCCATTATGTTGGGTTGATAAAGAAGAACAATGTGTTACTATTACGGAGACGGGGGG